TTGTTTTTGACACGCACCTTCTAAATTTACAAGTGTAGTTAAGAATGGCATGCAGACTAGGCGACTAAAAAAACGTCCCCGCAATCAAGTTTCAAGTTTTGTACATTCAGTGTCGTCTGCTAATAGCCTCTCACCCACACATCAGACGCGGTAATACATGTTGGTAGTACACAAAAATGACCTTATAAACCTCAAGGTCACAAAGGTCACGACATCTTAGAAGACAACCCCCAGGTGGTCCGTCTTAGACGATGTTTTCTCGGAGGAGACGGATGTCTTCAACCGTCGAGATTTACGATTTTCCATCGACCCCTGCTGACAGTTAGTCTACCGGATGACATTGACCTTCGCCCTGTTGCCACTAATTTGTCCCAAGTTGTGGCTACAGCGAACCTTCGGTGTTGCCTGGTCAAGACTCGAAGACATCAACATGGCGGCGTCTTGCTGGCGCCTGACTGTCCTAAAGGACGAGTGGGACGTCGGCTTAACGAAATAGTAACCTGTCAAATGGCACGGGGCAAGGGATCAGGCACGGACATCGGCTGCAAAATAATGTAGTCTACTGCAATTCCTGATTTTTTTTTCACTGTACTGTTATGTTCACTGTTTTCACTGTCACTTCTGTACCGTGAACTTATCATCACATTTCATAAATAATTCCTGGACTTTCTTTTTCCTGCACCTGTCGCCACCGTGAATATATAGTTTCGTGAACATGTCATCTTTTCTCAGACCTTGAACTTTTGCTACCGTGAACATATGTGCATGCCATGTATATGCTAGATGTATACTATGCTTCGTGTGATATTGGTTGCTGCTGTAGCGCTATAGCCTGATACCATGGTGACCAAGTTACGGGCCTGCATAGGACTGTTTTACTATTTCCAGGCAGTCGTAAAGAGAACATGCCTTTCTTTTTGACAGACTATCTTTCCAGCCGGGCTTTTTGAATAGAATTCCCGGCGTGCGCTAGTCTGGGTGTATTAAAGAAACAGATCTAGAAGGCGAGTAGTAGAAACAGATAAAAAAAAACACTGGCCGGGGTTCTAACCCACGACCTCCCAAGCACCAGCTTCAGACTCCGACGCTCTAACCACTCGGCCGAAAAGGTCTAGACCCATCGGCCGCCTATAAATCCTCCACTGATTCGTCCTCGAATCTTCCGAATTCGAAATCCCTGGAGCTGCACTCTTTGCCAGAACTCCCAGGGCCGGTGTGGGAACCACTGTAAGAAACAGGAGGAGCAGTTAAAACCTACTGGTCCCGGGCCGAACCCACGACCTCCCGAGCACCAGCTTCATAACCAGACGCTCTAACCGCTCGGCCAAAAAGGTCTAGACCCATATAAACCCTCCACTGTTACATGGGCCTTGGCGGCGGGCAATACTACCGGCACGGTGACCTACGATGGTCTGGATACCAGGCTACGGATGCTGTCGAAACTCTCCAACACTTGCTGCGCTCAACCAGTCATGATAACAGTCATCCTTCCCGATCCAGTCTCTCCCCACCCCGGGGTTATCACAGGTCATCGCGCAGCTGTATGTTCTCTAAGGGCTGCATCAACAGTCCTGCAGCCGATAACAACTCAACTCTGAGGTCGGAGGATTTTCTCCTGACGTTAGAACAACTACCCGCCTTCTCTGATGAAAGCGCATTTATCAGTTTACATGTTTGTCTTCATATAAAACTGACACGTACTCGTTTCGTGACATATTTCCTCTTGTTGTTACTTTGATAACCGTGGACTTTCCAGGCATGCATTTCTTGTAGATTTAGGCCACGGCTAGTAATTTTTATGGGTGACATCAGCGCGCGCATTAATTTTCGCCTGATTTTGGAAAAAAAAAATTTTGTTTCCCTCTGACAGTGGTCAACATGTCGAAAATGGGCAAAGATATCAGTTGCCATGCCGGAAGGTGGATGGCAGATAACTATGAAGAGAGGAGACAAGAAAGGGCTTTGATTTTACTTTGATGCAGTGATATGTGATGCTGGCTGTGTATATGCGAAGGTCCCACTGATTAAACCCATTTGTACAGTAATTGAGTCAAAATTGGAAAATGTAGGAACCCTGTTTTTTTCGGCGCGCCTTGTTTTTTTTCCGCCCGCTCGCATTAGATTTGGAGTCTGCAGGGGATGTCATCCATAAAATATACTTGCTGTGGCCTTAGCTAAGAACACTATCATATTAAATGGCGCCTCAGAAAGGTAAGATTTGATTTTTGATGGTGACATGGTCACCTTGTAATCGAAAGTGACAATGTTAGCGTTCAGTGACTTCAGTACATTTTAAATCTCCGAATCGCCTCCGGATGTTATCACCTTCCGGGACACGTGAAACCACCCAGCTGTTACTGTGTGTAGGTGACAAGTACACTGTGTAGGGAGGAAGAAAGTTAATGAAATGATAGATTAACCTATGGCCTTATATAATTTTCCACCAGCTAACTGCCATATGCCATTATTACATTCGCCAAGAAGGTTATGTTTTCAGCGGCGTTTGCCCGTCTGTTTGTCTGTGAACAGCATAACTCAAGAAGCTTTATATGCATTGTCATGAAACTTCGTAGGTAGGTAGGTGGGTAGGTCTTGATGAGACTTAGAAATGATTAGATTTTTGACCCCCTGGCGGCTTTCCTAGAAATTTGGATGGTAGATAGCTCTTGGGTTTGGAAGAAGTGACATGAGTTTGGGCCCCCTAGCGGCTTGTTCTGGAACTTCAGGAGCGTTTGATGAACAATTTTGAAGAAGGATAACTCAAGAACCGGTTGACGGATTGTCGTGATTTTTGGTATGTAGATAACTGAAGTGATGCTTGACATAATCAGATGACAATTATGCAAATCGTGAGCTAATTTGCATAATTAATTAGGAACTCTAGTTTCTTTCAACATGCGACGAAGATGACACACAAAAAAACGACGTCAATACCGGGAGCAAATGAGAGTGATTTTAATCTAAAGAGCTCGAGACGAGACTAGTGTTCAATTTTGACTTTACTCAAGTCAAATATACTTGAAGTTCCCTCGGCTATCTTGAACTTTGGACAAGGCCAAGATCACTTGTAGCGATGTAACTCATGGTTCCTCCTTCAACTTCACTTGCTAACTCTGATAAGTACCGTGAATGGTTGCGGGGTGATACTCACCTCAGAACTCTTAGAAATAGCAACTCTTTTACCCAGTACAAATGCAGAACTGCCCGGTATCAGAACAGCACTTTTCCCTTCTGCCTACGACTGTTGAATGATGACATGTAAATATTTGTGCGGCCTCCATCTATATAGAATATCTTTTTTATGAGTAAAACGTTTCAAAATGTAGTCTCCAATTTGTTTTTGATATGTCTGGAAATTTATATTGAATGATCGTACCTTCCTGTTTTAATCTATTTGATAAGAATTTTGTATTATGTTGTCAATTAGTCTAAGATGAATGAATTGTTAAAGAACCACAATTCAGCCTATGTAAGGCTGCAAGGGTTTTTATCCTCAATAAACCATTTCATCATCATCATCATCAAGTATATTGACGCGAAAACGTTTTAACATTCAGTTGATGATATTGTGTATGTTTTGTTTGAAGTTGCTGTTCTGATAATTATTGCAACAGTTTCTAAGTATGCTATTCACATTGTCGATTTGATAACCTTGTTATCATATATACTATACTGTGATACAATTTCTATTATGTAGTGTATGGAACTGCTGTTATGCTTGATTGAAGTTGTTAAGGGTTTGTGTCATATTGATGTTAACACTTTTGTGTTATTATCGTTTATTATATAACCTCCTTGGTTATTCTTTGTACTTGTTTAACAGCTGTTCAACGCACCGCCCAGATATAGACATCCATCATAATATCGTAAAAAATTCCTAAATACTATACCTAAATAAACCCTACATAAAATCTTAGATTTATTCTTGCATGTTCAGTACGTGAAGTAAGTTGAGGTTGAGTGCTCAAGGACAAGGTCACATGTTGTGTAGTTTCCTGTGACCTATGGTAATACAGTAAACCAGTTATCACAGGCCAGGAGGTGCTCTGCCTAGCATGCAAAAATAAATGTTAACTGTGTGTGCCAACTTTAATCTCCAAGCAGATCTTTTGGTGTATCAAATTGGCCAGATACTACATACATGTATGCTATTTCCAGATACTTCATGTATATTTTTGACTCTATGAATCCTTTTACATAGTACAAATGAAACAAAAAGATGCAAACTTAAGCATTTTATGTCCAAAACATCCTCTGTTCCTTGTTTATATAAAACCATGTTGATTTGATTATATGGATAACATCCGCGCGCGCATGAAGTTTCGGCCGTTTCCAAAAAAAAGTTTTCAACCATACTGTAAATCGTACAAAACAGTTGCAAAAGGAGCAAATATATACCGTAATTTGCAAAAATAAATAATTTAAAAACGTCGTTGAATGCCAAAATCAAACGAAAAAGACGAAAATGTAAATAAATGAGTTTGAAAACTAGATTATTCGCCATACAATACTCATAACATGTCATTTGTTCGAAATTCATAACAACGTAACGTTAGATCTAGATTTCATAATGAAAGCAACTTTTTTTGCAATTTTTTTTTATTCGCGCGCTCGCATCAGTTTTGGGGTTCCCAGAGAATGTCACCCATATAATCAAATCAACATGGCCTAATTAGAGAAGCTATAACATCAAGCCACTTCTCTCCAGATCAAGTTGGACAGTTCTTTACTCGCTGTCGGACAAGTGATGTCATCACTGGCATGACCTTGGTCTTGTTTTCCAGACAGAGCTGTCATTCCCCTACCTAGTCTCCACCAGACTCCTTTTACAGGCTGAATAAATAGTAGAAATATCCCCTAAAACGGGGATATCATTGGCCAGAGAAATGGGCCCTCTCTGGCCAGCCAACTTCTCTGATATCTGGGTGGTGACCCTGTAATTAAGTAGCCACCGCGCCTTCTTGGGAATAATATAATGCTCATGTCCTGATCGTCCCTAACAAGAGGTGAACGACCTTCAGGTTAATGACACGACGGTCCCAACAGACATCAACAGGAAGTGGAAAGCACATGTGACCAACATCCGACGAATATGTGAGCGGATATTACCTGCAGAGACAACAACAACTCTTTTCCATAACATCTGTGTACTTGTAACGACTTTATGTTACTCTATCCAAGCCCAACACAGTCAAATGTAACGCTGCTTGGGACATTTTGCTTCAAACCTGTGTATTTGTGAGAAACCTTCAAATTATATTTATTGGGAAGAACTCGGAGGTTTTGTGTCTGTCGATGACCCCCGGAAGTGGCCGTACACTACCGTGATGTCCACAGAAGAAGAAGAAGAAGAAGAAGAGAGGAAACCTCTGTCTGTCGTGTCCAAGCTCTGTTACGGCCTTGGCGGGATGGCAGTGGACACGTTCTGGACCGTCCTCGGGGCTTATACCAACATCTTTCTGGTGGAGGTCGCTCAGGTATGTAATTTGTCTTACACGTGTAACGTTACAGACATACCAAGGAGTCATAATACTTCTGTATCCTTGGACATACTTTTTTGAATGTTATCACAATTAGCAACACATGTCCATTTTTTAGACATTCAAATTTATTTTGTCGTTCACTTTTACAGTGTTGGTGAAGGTTAGACATCCAGGGAAACTCATAGAAATTTTAAACTCTACTACTGGATAAATGACGTAACGTAATACGGAGTTGTAAACACTACTGTATTTCCGGAGTGATTCCACCACTTTTCTTCAGCGTCACTAGTGAAATAATTTTCGTGTTTTGACCTTTGAACGTCTAGGGTTTTGACACTGTTTTGACGCATCAGACTTTTATGTTTACTGTATGTTGTCCACTCTTGTTCTGGTATAGAATAATAATAATAGTGATACATGTAATAGTAATAATGTCCTTGGTATATTGTTTCAGCTGCCACCCCTGTTTGGTACATCGGTGGTATTTGGTGGTAGAGCTATAGATGCAGCCTGCAATTTCATCATTGGGCCTCTGATTAACAGAACAGACACAAGATGGGGAAAGATAAAACCATGGTAAGTATATAGCTCCAGATGAGAAGGCACAGAATATTTAATGATCTGCCCCGAGGTGAATATGGTGTGATCAAGCCACCGAGTGAGCGCAGTGAACGAGGTGGCTTTATGAGGTGGTTATAGCAATCAGATAGCTTGATTCAACTTTATTGTTACAATTCTCTACAATGAGTCATACTCATGCTATTAGGCCTAGGAAAAAAAACAGTTGTGTTTCCTGTTTCCAAAACCAACCCTAGAAAAATCTTCCCACCTTAGACTTTTTTGGGGTGTGGACCCCTGCAAGGGACATAAATATTTGAGCTGATCGACCTTTTCTATCTCCATGATCTGACACCTGAGTGATAAAACTTTGTACAATCGGTTTTCTAACATTGACATGGAAATCAGAAGTGCAAGTTTTACTTTGTTAAACTGTATTGTATAAGTTGGACCCCATAGATATCACTGAAGTCTAAAAAGACAAAGAAAAGATAACCTATCGACCCTAATTTATTTAGGACTGAAACAGGAAACACAATTCTTTTTTTTTCCTCAAAGGCCTAGGCACTAATGAAGTTTGTGAAATCCTCAGGATTCTGGGTTCCGGACTACTTCTCATGCCCATCTACATATTAGTCTGGTACGTCCCAGAAGTGGGACTGGAGGGGAAGTTGGCGTGGTACATCTTGCTGTATGTTCTTCTGATGTTTGTTAAGACGGTAAGTCGGCTCTTTATTTATTTAGGCCACACCAACATAATTTTATGAACATCTGCGCGCGCATTGATTTTCGCCTGTTCTCAAAAGAAAAAAAAACACGTCCTCCAAGGCTCTGGCCTGGCTCTATGCCTGGGTAGTCCATGGTAGTTAGCGACAATATGGAGCCGGGGCACCCAGGCTACCGAAGCTCCACGACTCAAGAACACAGTACATACGTACAGTGCCGATTCATAAATTCCGCAAAAAGCCAGCATGTGCCGGCTTGTCTTATACGTCACTATGTAATGGTGCAAATTCACATAATCCCAGCTTTGTATTCCTCACAGTGGTTTAGTAGCATTTTTATTTTTAGCTTTGTTTTATTTGCCGCACGCACTAGTTTGGGGGTCTTCAGGGGATGTCATCCATAAAATTAAGACGGTGTGGCCTTATTACACATAACTGAGTCAAGCTAACTTTGCTCAGTTTAGACTAGTATGAACACCCATAACATTAAGTCTCCACCAGACTCCTTTTGCAGGCTGATAAATACATGTAGTAGAAATTGGCGTAAAAAGAGAATATATATTTGGCCAGAGGAGATGGCTGCCATAGAATCTCCAGTTTGCCTCAGCACTATTTATCAGCCTGCAAAAGGAGATTGGTGGAGACTACATAACACTATGTCATATGCATACCATACCGGTAGCAGGATTTTGCTTGGGGGGTTCAGTCCCATCTACTGTCTGAGGGACCAGCGAGCGCCGTAGTTGTAAGCTAATCCTATAGGGGGGTCCTTCTGAAATGGCATTTCCTGCATTTTTGAGAGGCTTTGAAAGGAAAAATCGGAGACAAATAGGATTACTGAGTCCCACTGGTGATACACATCAGTCCACCTTTTAAAGAATTATCTTGGAGCTTTAGATAAAAAGTGGACCTTTGAGCATGTGTGAGAAAGTTGTAAACGTATATATCCTGAAAATGGCAGAAGGTCTGGGAATATACTTTTGACATTGTGCTTTATTCCTGTCACATGGACAGGCCCTGTCCATCTCATCTCGTGCCCTTGTTGTGTTCCTGAGTCATAACAGTCAGGACAGGGACTCAGCCACTGTCTACAGTAAGTATTGTTTCTTTAGGCCACACCAATTTAATTTCTTGGTTAACGGATTTTTCTAGAAAAATAATGGAGCGGGCGGGCGAAAAAAAAATAAAAATAAAAATAGGCCTAGGCATCCTATTATGGCCCAAAATGGTACTATAGGAGCCATGAAGTCAACACACCAGGCTGGGTCAAAATTTAAACAATGAATTTTTAACTTTTAATGATACCATTGCATTGAAAGATGGAATAACTGTAACAACTAGGATGAAAAGGACTGTTTTCAACTGTTCAGAGCAAAATATGAGCATTTTGCAGTTGATTCTGAATTTTTATTTTTATTTGCAAATCGGAAAAAAATGAAGCGGGCGAATCCGTTAACCAAGAAATTTAATTGGTGTGGCCTTAAGGTGGAAAAGAAGGATAGCTGAGGCATATTTAGAAATACTACAAACTCTATCTGATATGGTAGTCTTTTGGATCTATTTTTTAATTTTCCCATGTGGTCTAGTGGTTAGAATTTGGCGCTCTCACCGCCAAGGCCCGGGTTCGATTCCCAGCATGGAAACCACTGTAAGAAACAGGTGGAGCGAGTAGAAACAGATAAAAACCCCTGGACCCTGGCCGGGGTTCGAACCCACGACCTCCCGAGCACCAGTTTCAAACCCAACGCTCAAACCACTCAGCTAAAAGGTCTAGACCCATCGGCCTGCAGGTCAGTTGGTAGCGCCTATAAACCCCCACTGTTACACTAGGACTGACTGGCCATGGAGTTAAGGGCCACACAATAACTGCATCTCACATTAGCTCTGAGGAAGGTACTGATAGACATTGAAAATATAAGCAGGTGAGAGACATTACTGGTTGCATATAAACTTTGAAAATCCCAATATCCTGATGAAATTATTTTTGGTTGCCATACTCAGTTTGTAAACTAACAAAGTACATGTATCAGGTTATATTGGCAACCTGCATTTCCCCTCTGGTCTTTCAGTCACTGAGGCCACACCAATTTAATTTCTTGGTTAACGGATTCGCCGCTTCATTTTTTTCTGATTTGCAAATAAAAATAAAAATTCAGAATCAACTGCAAATTGCTCATATTTTGCCCAGGACAGTTGAAAACAGTCCTTTTATTACCACTTGTTACAGTCATTCCATCTTTCAATGCAGTAGTATCATTTAAAAGTTCAAAATTCATTGTTTAAATTTTGAACCAGCCTGGTGTGTTGACTTCATGGCTCCTATCGTACCATTTTGGGCCATAATAGGATGCCTAGGCCTGTTTTTATTTATTTATTTTTTCGCCCGCCCGCTCCATTATTTTTCTAGAAAAATCCGTTAACCAAGAAATTAAATTGGTGTGGCCTGATGAAAGCTAGTGGATACTAGCTGAAACGCCTGACCGTTTCCAAAACCATATCCAATTGCTTTTTGGCATATTTTGGCAATGGATGTAAGGAAGCACATTAGAACCTATTACTGATCTTGACAATTCTATTCATAAACCTAAGGCCTGTGACATTACATATGGATAATGTGAATCCATTGGGTATGCTTCAGCAAAGACATTCCAAGATAAAAGTGACAAATAAAAAGTCAGTTGTATAGCCTGAACTAGTTCTAGAAAAAAGAATAGCTACATTTATTGGTATCTTTTTGAGTGTCTTATATATTAAATGGTGAAAGGTTTTGTGTTATTGGTTTTATCCATTATTTATTTCAACATAGACAATTTGTTTCGTACAGGGGGTCTTTTTGTACTGCTGGGAATAGTGGCAGGAATGGCCATACATGGACAGATTGTGGCCTTGTATGAACAAGCACAGTTTGACCCATGTACTAACAGTACCAATAGCACCAACAGTACTATGGATAACAGTTCTTTGGCAGAAGTGGTGAGTATTGTAATGTGCTATTAGTTCATGTTCATGATGTACATGTGTATGTGTGTATAAGGCCATGTTGATTTGATTATATGGATGACATCCTCCGGGAACCCCAAAATTGATGCGCGCGTGCAAATAAAAAAAAGTTTTGCAAAAAAAAAAGTTGTTTTCATTATGAAATCTACGTGGTCATGAGGGTTGAACAAATGGGACAGAATATGGTTTGGCGAATAATCTAGTCTTCAAGTTCATTTCTTTACCATTTCGTCTTTTTTCGTTTGATTTTGGCATTCAACGACATTGGTATGGTTTTTTTGTAACTTATGGTTTATTTTTGCTCATTTTGCAACTGTTTTGTATGATTTACAGTATGGTTGAAAACTTTTTTTTTTTTGTAAACGGCCGAAAATTCATGCGCGCGCGGATGTCATCCATATAATCAAATCAACATGGCCTAATGCATAATTTGCAACTCATACACACACACACACACACGCACGCACATCATGCAAACACAGATGTACAATTATTGTATTTCCCTCCTCATATTTTCTGAAAGATTGTCATTGACGATTATGCAAATATTATTTTCAGAAATCTTTTTGACGTCAGCATTTTGCATAATTTTGTATCAAACAATTTTAATTGCCTTTGATATATGTTGGCGCAGAAGTACATAACTGTTACAATGTTGGTGAACACACTAGTGTTTGATACTTTCTTTTATCACTATAGAAAACTGGTTACCTGATATCAGCAGGAGTTATTGCTGGCTTGACACTTGTCTGTGTCCTTGGGCTTCTCATTGGAACAACTGAAAGAAAAGGTGTGCTTCGATATTTGTTTATGTCAAATATATAAGGCCACACCAATTTAATTTCTTGGTTAATGGATTCGCCCGCTTCATTTTTTTCCGATTTGCAAATAAAAAAAAATTCAGAATCAATTGCAAAATGCTAAATTTTGCACCAGCCTGGTATGTTGACTTCATGGCTCCTATCGTACCATTTTCGGCCATAATAGGATGCCTTTTTTTTTTTTTCGCCCGCCCACTCCATCATTTTTCTGGAAAAATCCGTTAACCAAAAAATTAAATTGGTGTGGCCTTATACAATGTAAGTGATGATTGTCATAATTGCACTAACAGTACTACCATACTTGTCTGTTTGCCAGTCTTATCGTAACTGTGTAAAATCATAAAACTTCTAAATGATGAAAAAACCTATTATATAGTAATTACATGTACCGTATAATGTGCCGTTAGGTTAAAAGGGATAATATATTATGCACCAATCATTGTATAGACTGATTTGGTAATGTTTGTCATAAGAGATACATGTATATATGGCAAATTCTTGTTATCAAAATTTGCACTTGAAGAGTTTTCATGTTGTTCTGACCCAAGATATTCCTTTGAATGTTGCAGATATTTCAAATACGTCCCAACAACAGCATTCACAGTCATTCATCATGATGATCAAGTCAGTTTTGACATTTCGACCCAATGTCTTTCTTTTGCTTATATTCACCAATGTGTCGCTAACCCTTGCCGTGAGTATAGTCTCCACTTTAATTTCTTCTGAAAGAAAAGTTCCACTTTGTTGAGAATGATGATAATCTATAGTGAGTTTTGGTAAACACGTATGCATGTAAACCAATTACTAGCACTTAGGCCACACCAATTTAATTTCTTGGTTAACGGATTCGCCGCTTCATTTTTTTATTCTGCAAAAAATCAGAATCACCTGCAAAATGCTCATATTTTGCCCTGAACAGTTGAAAACAGTCCTTTTCATCCTAGTTGTTACAGTTATTCGATCTTTCAATGCAGTGGTATCATCAAAAGTTCAAAATTCATTGTTTGAATTTTGAACCAGCCTGGTGTGTTGACTTCATGGCTCCTATCGTACCATTTTGGGCCATAATAGGATGCCTAGGCCTGTTTTTATTTTTTTTTATTTTTTTTGCCCGCCCACTCCGTTATTTTTTTAGAAAAATCCATGAACCAAGAAATTAAATTGATGTTGCCTTAATGCCAATTACAAACATGTTACTTGAGCAGCAGGTCAAAATTTCTATTATCATAAAATGTATTAGAAGCCAGATCTTGCTTTCAACAATGTTAATGACTGACAAACTCATGAATTGTCATCTCATGGGTGATGGAATACATAGGATAGTGTTCAGAAGGCCCATAAGGCAGAGCGTGGGTGCTGGGGGGAGTCAGTCGGGGTCTAGACTGAAGTGAGAGAGGTCCGGTGGCCTGTAGTAGAGCAGCAGTCTAGTATTAAACAGAGTTCCTGGAGATCGACCCCGGCTCATTTCGTGACACATGGTGTCAGAAGTGGGATCACTTTCACCGAGGGCAACACTCCGGTAGGTATGCTATATCATAACTAACTAATCATGTTTCACATGTTTTCAGATATTACTGGGGACGTCAGTTCTTTACATACAGTATAAATTAGACCTTGCAGACCAGGTCCAAAATGCAATGCTAGCATTTGTGGTAAGAGAACCTTGTCTGTTTGTACTTTCAAATGCTATATAATATATTATATATTATTGATAATGTAACCTGGGTTCTTACAGAAAACTTGAGGCTATACAAATCTTATAGATAGGTTCTGATAGTTTCTTTGCATTATACTAACTTCCAATAGCTATAATTTTTTTTACTTTATTGTTTTTCATTTTTTTACTTTATTCAAATTATTGTTTTTCATAAAGTACAAGTACATACATGTAGGTGACTAGTAACAATTTATAAGCCAAAAGACCAATATACATGTACAGTACAATTTTCATATATTTCTTAATGAGCATTCAACTTGACTAAACAGTAGCTCTCAGACGAACCCCCCACAAGGCTCAAAGGTCCACTTTTTGTTCCACTCTTTATCTTAAGTCCAAGATTTCTCTTTAAAATCACCAGTGGGCTGGAATCCTAGAAAAACTGATCACTTTGTCATTGAATAAAAAGTTATCTCTGAATTTTCCTTTGAAATCCTCTCAAAAATGCAGGAAATGCCATTTCAGAGGGTTCATTTTTCAAATGACCCCCCCTAGGAACCTCGTGCCTTCGGCGCTCGCCTCGCGCCTATGGCGCTCGCTGGTCCCTCAAGCAGTGGATAGAACCCCCCCCCCTTTCAATTTGGGGCTACGGGCATGTCTTACATCCTGTATCATATTAAAAAGCTTATCCTATCAGTATTGATGTTAGTAATGATGTGACAAGTATTGTTGTGAAGAATGACGACTGTGTTTTATTTATCTGTAGCTATCTGCCGCTGTCTCCATGGTTCTCATGGCCAAAGTGGTGGCCAAGTTGGGCAAGAGGATTTCATTCATGTGCTATCAGCTGGTAATGCTATAATCCCATTCAAGCTCTTGTACAAATGTAGAACACTTGAACACTCTAAGGCCACACCAATTTAATTTGTTGGTTCTCGGATTCGCCTCTTCATTTTTTTCCGATTTGCAAAAAAAAAAAAAGATTCTGGTTCTGAATCAACTCAAAAATGCTCATATTTTGCCCCCAACAGTTGAGGAAATTCCTTTTCTTCCTAGTTGTTACAGTTTTTTCCATCTATCAATGCAGTGGTTTGATTAAAAGTTCAAACCCAGCCTTTTTTGTTGACTTCATGGCTCATATTGTAGCATTTGGGGCTATAATAGGATGCCTAGACCTGTTTTTATTTTTATTTTTTTCGCCCTGTCGCTTCATATTTTTTCTGAAAAAATCCGAGAACCAACAAATTAAATTGGTGTGGCCTTAGTCAAAGATTTTTCAGCACAACAATTGTAACAAGTACATTAAAGTTTCAGCCCTGAAAAAATTAGGGTCGTAGGTAGGGATTTTTTTTCATTCTTTTTTTTTTAGACTTCTTCTTTTACAATGAAATACAGTAAACCACAAAAAGTAAAAATTGTAAGATTGTTGTACAATCGTTTGGAACACCGATTGTACAACATGTCATCACTCATTGAGTCAGATCATGAAGCTCAAAAAAGGTAAATCTGCTCAAAAATTTATGCCCCTTTCAGGGATCCACCAAAAAAAAAATTTTAGGCTTAGGGTCGGTAGTTTTTTCTAGGGTCGGTCGGGAAACAGGAAACACAATATTTTTTGCCTTACTCTAGAGCAATGGTGGTGAGCCCCAGGCCCACGGTTGTTGTGAAACTGTTGATGGACAGCGCTACACTGAAGAACACTGTGTCCAGTCGCCGGTCAGCTTGTAGGCTGTACTCATCTACTATGTCATTCAGCATCGCCCTGTAAAAAAAAAATAAAAAATCCAGCCTTAATGCTACACCGATTTAGTTTCTTGATTCACTTACTTGTCTGCTTCATTTTTTTCTGATTTGCAAATACCAATATAATAAGGCCACACCAGTTTAATTTGTTGGTTCTCGGATTTTTTTCAGAAAAAAAAATGAAGTGACAGGGCGAAAAAAACAGGCCAAGGCATCCTATGATAGCCCCAAATGCTATGATAGGAGCCATGAAGTCAAGATAGCTGGCTGGCTTGTAATTCAAACAATAATGAAATGCAAATTTTGAATTTTGAATCCAATCACTGCATTGATAGATGGAAAAATTGTAACAATTCTGAAGAGAAGGGACACACTGTTAAGGGGCCAAGTTGATTCAGAGCCTGAAATGTTTTTTTTTTTTTCAATTCAGAAAAAATGTTCAAGGGGGCGAATCCAAGAACCAACAAATTGAATTGATGTGACCTAAGTACCATTCAGATTCTGAATCAACCTCAATGTTTATATGTTGGCTCCAACAGGTGAAGAAAGTTATTATTCTAACAGTTTTTCTTATTAAGTTTGAACTATGGTCCATAGTATGGATACTCAGGGGGTGGCTAATCCTCTGTGTGATCTAAGTAAAAATGTGTTTTTTTTTACATGTAGGTCTTCTATATACTCTGACCTGTACCGTACATGTGCAGTCTACTCAACAATCCTTGATAACGTAACACATCAGACGTAAATATTGTACCTTTTTATCCGTGCAGATGTATATTTACTACAATCTATATCTCTTAGATGTGCAGTGTCTTTTTAACCATTGCCATTTTAATACCATCTTTTTAAATTGTCAATGCATTTTATTACGTAAAATACATTGTATTGTTTGTATGAATTGAATTATTGTTTTTAAACTGTGTAAATTGGACGCAATTCAGTGATACACTGCAATGTTCAATAAAGTGATCTTGAATCTTGAATTTTGAAAATTACATGAAGGGAAAGCGTCAGGTTGACTGATGATTAATTAATCATGTAGTTCACACAACATGAAATTAGAAGATCTTGGAAACATTCTTGTCTGTTTTCCTGTGATTCCTGATGAGTCAACAGGACATCAGGATTCATAGATAACCTTCTGTCAAAAGGACCAGATAATTGTAACAATTGTCCTACCATGGAATATAGAACCCTGCTGAGTTTGCAAAGCCAAGGAGGATGCAGACCACAATCAGGACTGCCAAACTCCTCTCTGGAATGAACTGAAGTCCAACAGCAAGCGGGATGATAGCCTGAATATACAATATTGTAGGAGAAAAAAAACAGATTAGTATGATTCAACTATCAGGATTGAAGCTGCCCTGAACTTACATGGGGCCTGCATGCCCTTTTCCGTAGGATATAATCGGCCATTTTAAATCATAAGCAGAGTGTAGACAGACCGCTCTAATTCAACGTAAAAGTGTACTTCCAGGTGCATTTTGCGTAGAGCGTAATTTGCCGTTTTGTTTCTGCTTAATGCATTGTAGCTATCCAGAATTTATCGTAAAACGTAACGGTGATATTTCCTGAATTCATTATCATCATCATCAACGCAATACGTAGCCAGCTTTCAAAATTTAGCATAGAGCGTTGTCGAGACCCCCATGCAGGCCCTCTTGCATGTATTTCAAGAAGGAAAACATGTACAAAGAAAATACATCGAAATGAGAACTGATTCATGCCACCTAATTTTAATCAAATCAAAGTCAAATTCCTGCCATTTAGGCCACACTAATTTAATTTGTTGGTTCTCTGATTTTTTCAGAAAAAATATGAAGCGACAGGGCGAAAAAAAATAAAAATAAAAACAGGTCTAGGCATCCTATTATAGCCCCAAATGCTACAATATGAGCCATGAAGTCAACAAAAAAAGGCTGGGTTAAAATTTAAAGTATAAATTTTGAACTTTTAATCAAACCACTGCATTGATAGATGGAAAAAACTGTAACAACTAGGAAGAAAAGGTTGGGGGCAAAATATGAGCATTTTTGAGTTGATTCAGAACCAGAATCTTTTTTTTTTTTGCAAATCAGAAAAAAATGAAGAGGCGAATCCGAGAACCAACAAATTAAATTGGTGTGGCCTTAAATATCACTTTCTTTCTAATTCTTTGTAGAATCGGTGGCTACAAAACCGGAGAATGTGTTCAGCCTGCCTCTGTTGGTACCTCTCTGGAGATTCTGGTCTCAGTTTTCCCGGCAGTATGTTCTCTCTTGGCTGTGGTCTTGATATGGAGATATCCCATCACAGAACAGAGGCGAGAGGAGGTTCAGAAACAGCTAGAAAACAGGTATGTTTTGCTCAATGATCATTGTATGGCAATTTTTGATAGCAAGGACATCTACATGTTTGCATTGTTGAATATACAAAAGGAACATTTGATACAAGTACAAGATTATCTAAAGATCTAAATGCAAGAAATAAAAATTACTGTAACTCCCAAGTCTACTGGGTTTGACTTCTTTTTTTAAGACAGAGGAAGACAAAAGATCCCACTTTTTCTGTAATGTCTGGGTTTTTAGATGTTAAGAGAATGAGTAGTTTTCATCTTTATACATGTGAAAGTTAGGGTAGAATTTGGAGGCTGCATCAAAGTGTTCCTTTCTCTGTTGTTTGCATGTCAGCATGCTACTTAAAATTGACTATCAATGGAACATGGTTCACTGTGATTTTTATAATTTCTTGGCAATGTGGAGACCTAATGCCACAGAGTTCATAACACTGCAATACATAAAATTCCAATATGTTTATGCACTAAGAAACTTCATAAAATACTGCAAAATCTCTTGAATGTCCAGTCTTCTACAGCAAAATCAAGTCCTTGCAAAGATAAATGATTTTACAGTATTGTTTTCCTGTTTGTGCAGAAAAAAACCAGAGAGAGACAACCAAGTTCCAGATTCAGAACTAACAGAGCTGGGTAAGGACCAACAGAGATGGTACTCCTCTGGGACAACGGAGTCATCATCTGAAGACAAAACCCCTCCATTGTCTGTGGATCAATAACAGGCATTGAAAGATGGAATAACTGTAACAACTAGGAAGAAAAGGACTGTTTTCAACTATTCAGGTCAAAATATGAGCATTTTGCAGTTGATTCTGAATTTCTATTTTTTTTTTTTTTTTTTTTTTTGCAAATTAGACAAAAATGAAGCAGGCGAATCCGTTAACCAAGAAATTAAATTGGTGTGGCCTAATCTTGTTTTTTTAGCCCGCCTTGTTTTTTTGTTGCACCCTATTGCATTAGATTTGGAGTCTGCGGAGGATGTCATCCATAAAATTTACATGCTATGGCCTATCTGAAATATACTCCTCCATCTTCTTTCTTCTGTCCTCCTTTTCTTCTGACAAGCCCCGCCTTAAAATTTATCTCCTTCAGGCTCATATATAACGTTACCCTTCTTATCTCTGTAAGTAAGAGCTCAATGAGGCGGTAAATGGGGCCGGGGATAGTTTTTAACTTGCCGCGAATTTATTTATGAAGGACCGGTTATCAACTTCAGCTGGGTGACCTTTCTGAAACTGGCCGAGATGTGGGTCGCGTCCTAATAAGAGTAGAGTGAAAACAAAGACATAGAATAGAAAGGTAACATTTGCAAAGCAAAGCATAATGTTTACCTTCGCATATGGTCTGCTCTGTTAATTCTTACTCGAATACATTCAAATATATGGTCAGACAGGAGTCTAAATCCCTCGTGCTATAAAATTGCAACATGATGTAACCCAACACTAGTTACCATGGTGACAGACGTCTGGTTGTTCAGGTCATCGACTTTATTGGTTTGGAGAAGAAGAAGAGAAAACATAGCAAAAACAATGTTTGTTTGTGGGAAGAACAAACATTCGGTAAATATGAAAAAGAAAGAGGCAGAATAGCTGTCATTGCGTACTAGGCCCAGCCTCTACCGGGCTTCGGGAGGCGGCTGGAAATAGTAGAAATTGGTCAAACAGACGAAATATAGAGATACATTTGTAACATGCCGAGGGAGTTGGTCCGCTAGAGAGTACATTTTGCCGCATCCGAAGCATGGTAGAGGCCCTTCTCACAGCATGGACCCGTTGAAAATTAACCGGCTGGTTCAGTCTGAAATAGGGCGGCAAACTGCTGAAAGGTCCGGTCCTGCTGATGATATCTGGCTGCGGTATTCAAACCGGGCAGGGTGAAGGTCAGGGGGTTACTGTGGTCAGCTATCAGGTCATACAAGGTCAACAGTGTCCCATCTGGACATAGCTTCTGTCATGCTTTGATGGACGACAGAGAAACCAAGAAAAAAGGGAAAGAAAAATGAAAGAATGAATGAATGAAGGAAGGAGGGAGGGAAGAAAGAGAGAGGGAAAGAAAGGAAGAAAGAAAGGAAGGAAGGAAGAAAGGAAGGAAGGAAGAAACAAAGAAACAGAAAGTAAGAGAAAGAAAGAGCAAGACAGAAAGAAAGAAAAAGAAAGGAGGAGAGAGAACGAAAGAAAGAAAAAGAAAGAAACAAAGAAAGAAAAAGAAGATTCTAATTATTCTGTAGTTGACTTTCGCCAAGAAAGTACGTAGTGTTCAGACTCTGACCACTTGCTTACTAGCCGTGTTCAGGTCATATTTCTTGTCTTGGTTGGATATCTTTAGATCTCTATGTGGGGTCTTTCTACTCAGACGTGAAGTGAACCGTAATATATTGACTCTGGTAGAAGATATTTCCCTGTAGTATAACGTTACGACATTGATTGAAAAACTAGCCAGATGTACAAAAGTCACTTGAACTTGAAAGTTATTAGTTAGCGCTAATGACAGGTATTATTTTCCACAAAACAATTTATCTAAATGCAGGCTGAACTTCTTTCTACCACTAATCAGACTGACACATTAAATTGTGTTCTTTAGGCCACACCAATTTAATTTGTTGGTTCTCGGATTCGCCTCTTCGTTTTTTTCTGATTTGCCAAAAAAAAAATTGATTCTGGTCCTGAATCAACTGAAAAATGCTTATGTTGAGGAAAGTCCTTTTCTTCCTAGTTGTTACAGTTTTCCCAT